AGAGTTGAGAAGGTTAGAGAAACTGCTTTTCTCAATCTTGTAGCAGGTTAAGGGGGAGCTTGTGCTGTTTCTAGGGAGAGCTAGGACTTCAATAAAAGGGCATTTATTGGTGATTTCCAATAACACGAAAATCATAACCCCATTACAGAAAACATAAAAATACAGAGAAGTATTTTAAAAATTGTTCATTGTCCCATTACTCAAAGAAACCCACCATTAGTGCCTTGTTGCAGCCCGTCCCTTTGCCCCACGCATTCACATATGTATGTCCCATTCTTTTGGGACATCAGTTTTGTAACTTGCATTTTCCACTCAGCATTGTCCTGCGAGTATCTTCCCCTGTCATTCCACAAAGAAACTGGAAGCCTCATTTTTGATGTCTGCATAGAAGTCTGGGTCCAGGCCAAACAAGGATTACCATGGCTTTTCCCAGAATGCCATGCTTGGGTGTCCCATCAGAAGCAGAACGCGGGGGGACACTTGGAAGCCCTCGTTACACTCTCCTTTCTTCAAGTTCATTATCTTTAGAGACAGGGATGGAGAAGTGCAGCCCAGAGAAGCAGAGCCCAGGCGAGAGCTATTATCTCCATTTTCAGCTGGGAAAACCAGGGCTTTCGAGCCAGGCAGGGAGTGGTTTTGATGGCTTGGCCGAGGTACCATGTGGAGAGTTTTCAGGGTGGCTGGGCTTCGTTATAGTCGTGCACAGTGAGAAACACAGACGTGCAAGTCACTGGCAGGAAGGAAGAGGGTTTTATAGTCATGCCCAGAAGCAGGAGGCACACCACACCAAACATTGGGGAGCACCGGGAGTTGGGATCAGGAGCAGAGGGAGTGAAGGGAAAAAGTGGGCAAGAGCCTCTACTGTGGTTTCTGTGGAAGAAACAGGTGAGACAGGTACACAGGCCTGGGAGTCATCAGTCTAAATGATCTCAGTGGGCTCTGGGGCCTAAGGGGCTGCCCTAGCTGTCTGGTACCTGGCCCTGGGATGATCAAGGCAGGGGGAAAGCAGCCCCTATTGGGAAGTGGTGGGGAGTATGTGTGAGCTCTGGACTGATTTGTTTGCATAGGAAAGGTGCTCACAGGTGGTTCCTGTCTCCAGGAATTGGCTAGCCCTGGGTGGGGCGGTCTTCCAGGGTCAACAAGGCCCAGATATTAAAGCCTCAGAAACACAGTTTATCCATGGAGTGTGCAGCAGAGAAGTGACCAGGGACATCCCCGCGTCCAAGCAGAACGCAGCATGGGCTCTATCCCGCTGGGTGGCAGGGGAGGGGGTTTCCTGGCAGCAGTGGAAGGAGGATGCTGGCCTGTCCAGATGGCAGAGAAGCTTCCTGAGGTTACTCGTGCCTGACCCAGCTCTGCCATCAGCCAGCCGCAGGGCCATAAGTGGTCACTGACTCCCTGGAGACTCTTGCCCTTTGATGGCAAGAGAAAGGAGAAAGAAAGGACTGAGCATTTCTTGGGTGCTTGGTGTGTGCCAGGCACTATCCTGGGACTTTCCCCAAATTTCTCATCAATATCTTCTCTCAGCCCTGTCACACATGAATGGCACTTTTGTGTGTGTGGATGTGACAGATGAGGAAAGTAAGGCTCATAAAAGTGATGGGCCTGGGGTGGCTTATGAGGGGCAGGGAAGGAATGTGACCCTGTTCTGAAAGCCTGTCCACCGAGTGGGCACCAAACACATGGCACAAGACCATCTGGAATCACTGTACTGCCCAGTTCCCTGTAGGGGTAAGATTGGGGATTCAGCAGGGAGGGAGACTGAGTGGAGTCTGGCAGAGGTAAGCTGGGTGCGCCTGATGGAGATAGTGGAGGGGCTGGCTGGTCTTTGAGAGTTTCTTCCTTGTCTTTGTAGATCATCATTCCACAGTTAGTTACATTCTGGTTTGGTTAGTGAATGGGAAACACTGAGGGGTCATATTGTGTGCTGGGTGGGCCCTTGGCTATTATTTTAAGGAGGAGAAAGCAGAGGCCCAGAGAGGATAAGTGATTGACCCACATCACATAGCTGGTTTAGAGGCATAACAAAGATGTGTCTGCAAGACTTCTAGCCCCCCAAGACCAGTGGGGTAAGTTTCTCCTAACTAACTCCTGCACCATTGAATCTGGAGCTTTTCTTAGTAGCAGCCTGAGATCATGGCTTCAGATGACCCAGTGGATTCGAAAGGACATAGTGCCAATGGCTCTGGTTGCAAACGATGATCTTTGTGATAAGACACCAGACCTTGCTTACAGTTGTGTGACTGGAAAATGATGTCAGTTATAGCCAAGGTCATGGACTTTTCTGGTGGCCTCATGCTGACCCCTTGTTCTTAATTATAGGTAGTCAAATCCATTGAACTAGTGAAAGCAGAAGGGGATTTACTTAGGGGAAAGAATATAATATATAATAATAACAAATAGGAGAAATAATAAATATGATATATTTACATATAAATATAATATCATGAGGGTGATGCTACCACTGTAGTTTATATATAATAATAAATAATATATAATAATAAATGTAATATATTTACATAAGAATATAATCATGAGGATGCTGCTACCACTGCAGTTTCCAAGAGATATGCCACCTCTGCCACATTCTGCACCAGCAAAACAGTGCCTGGAGCCTGGCTATTCTTTATGGATAACACAACTCTGACTCAGTCTTATGCAAATGCTTCTGATTGGTCGAACCTAAATGGCATCCACACCCTAGTTGCAAGGGAGTCTGGGAAATGTAGTTTTCCACTTCACAGCATCTGTAGTACAAAAGGTACAGAGGTAACAAAGAGTCCTTTCTTTGAGATATTCACAACAGTTTGGAAGGGAAAACAGATACATAAACATAATACAATGTTAGTTGTTCTAATTAAGAGACAAAGTAAGAGGGACCCCAGGAGTGAGGGTCAGAGAAAATTCTCAGAGGTAGGGGCAGTTGAGCTGGGTACTGAAGGATAAATTTGGGTTTGCCAGATGAGAAAGACAGACAAAGGAATTCCAAAACAGGGAGAAAAAGGTGAGTGTGATATTTTGGAAATCCACAATGCCTAGTTCTTATGAACTCCACTTCATTTCTTTCACGGCATGAGAATAAGGAGTCAATTTCATTTTGTCAGTAAGAGACAATTTGTTATATAAAATGTTTTAATATTTTAATGGAGCACCTGGGTGGCTCCAGTTGTTGGGTGTCTGCCTTTGGCTCCAGTCGTGGTTCTGGGGTCCTGGGATCGAGCCCTGCATTGGGTTCCCTGCTCTACTGGAAGCCTGCTTCTCCCTCTCCCACTCCTCCTGCTAGTGTTCCGTCTCTCACTGTGTTTCTCTCTGTTAAATCTATCTATCTATCTATCTATCTATCTATCTATCATACGCATATACACATACATGCATATGATATAATATATACACGCACACATATATGAGTTAAAACTACTTAAAAACATAACTTTAACACTTAACTATTAAATTATATGAAAGTTATGAACAAATATTTTAAAACAAAGTATTAAACATGATACTATATACAGAAGTTATTTAAAATGCAGGTATTGTAAAAAGCCACTTTATTGGGTAAAATGCCTTTCTGTGTATAGAGCAGCACATCCAGGAGTTGGTACACAGAAATGAGGCATGTGAGAACACATGGGAAATAACTGCCCCCACGTGCCAGGAAGATTTCTGGGACGTGCTGGAGGAATGACTTTATTCTAAATCCTGGGTCATGGCACACAGCACCCAGGAGCAGCCCTGAGGCACCACTCCCACATCTGATTCTCCAGAGCTACCTGTCCCCAGGCCACTGACCCCACTTTTAGAGTGGCTTGACCCTGCAGGCTTCTCTGGTGTTGAAATGTTCTGGGATCCAGCGCCCCAGCCTTTTCTGAGCAACCTCCAGACAGAGAGGCTACAAGGGCTGGCCCCATCCTGCCTCCGTGGCTGCGTTCAGCAGTGAACTGTGCTTAATGTCTGCAGGTGCTCTTTCTTCTCTGAGCTTGTGGGAACTTCAGGTGTGAGAGGGGACAGCTTTAAAGGTCTCCTCACCCAGTGATTGTGGGAGGCCACAGGGCCTTTTCAGGGGACACCAGCTGTCTTTACAGGTGAGTGGACAAGAGCAGCCTCGAGTCAACGTGCAGGCTCATGTCCCAGCTTTGCCACCTACCATCTATGTGGCTCTGGGCGACTACAGAGCTCATTCCAGATGCATATGCGGACTGCTTTCCTCATAGGCTAGTTCAAAAAATAACAAGTGGGTGTACCCATGTCAAGCACTTGGTCCTAGGTAAGGGCTCAGCAAGCACTCGCTAGAATCGGCTTCTGTGTGGAGTTGCAGGAGGGACCCTGAGGTGGCTCTGGCAGGCCTGGAGACAGCTGGCGTTGGGAAGGGCTTGGACCCAGCCCAAGCCTGGCCCCATCCTCCTGTTTGTAGGACCTGAGCTCCATCTCCTTAGCCTCCACTTTCTCAGCTGCCAAATGGGGAGAAAGAAACATCAGCCTCACCTAGTCACAGCGTGAGCTTGAGAGCCGGGTGAGCTACTGACAAGTGGAAAAAGCAGCAGATTTTCACTGTGTTTGTATCCCTGGGGGAGGAGAAAGGGGCAGGAAAGGGCAGGACTAAAGTTGGAAGTCCGGGTCTCACCACCCCGACTCCCCGTGCCGCCTCCATCAGGCACCGATCACCGAAGCTAATGAGACCATGCCCTGGGCATCCTTCCCTTTCCCTTCCCTTTTGCAGCCAAACCTTCTTCTGAATGTCCTGATTTGCTGAGATGAGTTCATGCCTTGTAAAGGGTTACACTCCTGCGGCAGTGGGGTGCTGTGAGTAACCAACCACCCCGTGATCAAGCCAGAGGGCCCCACCGGTCCTGGGGACCCCCTATGAGGTCATCTGCTGGGGTGGGTCTGGTGTGCTCTATTAATTTGACCAGGATCGACTTGTCCCCACCAAGAGCCCCATAGTCCCCCCAAAGTCTGGCTGGCTTCTTCATATAGTAATTTCTGTCCCTGTTGGTTCCTAGGTACTTTGAGTTTTACGAGGGCCCGTTTGAATATAACTCCACAAGATGCCTGGAGCTGAGGCACGAAATCTTGGAAGTGAAGGTGCTGTCCATGTGAGTGTGGCTGGGACGGTGGCGGGGACGGGGCCCTTGGGGTGGGGCAGGACCAGGGGAGGGAGCGTGGGATGGGGCAGGCACCCCATAGAGCGAGAATGAGATCTCCTTGCCCCGGGCCTCTGGCACTTGGAGAGCAGGGATAATTGTGCATTTTATGAAAAAAGACCAAGTTGGCAAGGTCACCTCTGGTGACTCAGGGGATTCAATCCCGGTCTCAATTACCGGGCTCCGTGAGATTGTCTGAGGCAACTCCTGCATGGAAGCCAAAGAGAGCACAGGAGCATCTTACCCAAAATTCAGCACTCCGAGCGGAGGGTTAAGCAGCACCCTTTTGCCATCATCTTTTCAACCTTTTATATTCATTAAATTAAGTATTTTTTAAATTATTGCAACGATAGAGCATTCAAATGGACAAAAAGGCATAGAGTAAAACCCCCCGTCTCACAGCCCCTCGGTTCCCGGCAGAGGCAGCACGGGTGTCCTTGTGCACTCCCCCGGGGAATCTGCTTCAACCAGCACCTGTGCACAAACACGCTTTATTAGGATTTTGCTCACAAATCACAAAAGAACTGTAATTTCTGCTCCTCACCCAACAGCAGAACACCCATGGCTTTTTTACAACCTATAGGAGAAAAAGCACATTAGATGCAGCACATTTCAGTGACTATGGGTTTCCACCACCCTCCTCTCCCACGTGGGACTGCCACAAATTCACCACCCACTGAGAGGAATGTTGCCGCGCTCGTCGTGATATTTGGTTTGAAATGAAATTTGTGTGTATTTGAAAACATTTCTACCTGGATGTGGAAAAGGACTATAGTTAATCTATAATTAGCGTTGGGGGCTCTCGTGGGCCCGTGAGCGATCCCTGGGACCATGGTCCGTGGCCGACGGGCAGGAGCCACTGCGCCTTCTGCCATCTGACCCAGTTTCTGTGTAGTGTGGGTCATAGACGGAGCATGCGCCTGGGGAGTTGTCAGACCTGGGATCTTAGCAGCTACAAATTACTTGATCTTTCTGAGCCTTTCCTTACCTATAGAAATTAGGACACTGTTACCCAACTTTTAAGGGTCACCGCAGAGACTAGAAGAAGTAGCGTATGTGAGGGCAGATGGCCCCTCGGTCCGCGTCCATAGTAGCACACATAATAGGTGCTGCCTCAATGTTCATATGCCTCCCTCCCTTTTCTTCCGCTTCTGGAACCACTACCAGCAGCAGCAGCTTTTCGGGGCTGTCTTTCAGAATCTGTAAGTTTAACAGCTGCAGGAAAGCTCCCAGGACATGTCCCCCTGGGCTTAGCTGCGTTATGGTCCCGGTACCAACCAATGGTCTCTCTACCCTCTCCAGAGGTAAATGTGTGAGGTAGGTCCCCCTCCCATCAGCCCCAGCCAGCCCTGAGCTGAGCACACACCCTGGTCCCTGCCCTCATGGAGCTCACAGCCCAGCAGGGAAGCGGACATTAATACTTGTTTACCCTAGGGAGACAAGGGGATGGCAGGGAACTGGACTTGGACTGGGGTGAGGAGGGGGTTGTCAGTCAAAGCTCCTCTGAGGGAGGGATGCTGGCACTACCGTTGGAAGGGTGATAAGAGGTAAGTAGGCCAGGCAGGTTTCAGACTGAGGGAACAGTCTGTGCAAAGGCCCTGTGCCAGGAGAAAGCCCGCTGTGTCCCCGGCTCTGAAGGGTCAGGGCAGCTTAAGAGGGTCATGCCAGCGTGAGAGGGGAGATGGGGCAGCCATGTTGCTGGAGGGCCAGACCAGGGCCTGACCTGATGAGGCTTTGCTGTGTGGACCAGGATTCAGATTCTGTCATTATTCGAGGGCTGTGGGAACCCATGGAAGGCTTTAAGCAGGTGGCAGTGGGGTGTGTGTGATGTCATCAGTGAGGAGTTGCGATTTGGTGGCAAACGTGGCTGTCCACGCTTCAGGCATGAGTCAAATTCATCAGCTCCTAAGCAGAGACCCTTTGTCTTTTCCTGGAATTCAAAGACCTCAGGCCTTCGAAGAACTTTAGATCCCACAGCTGCAGAGGTGGGAAGCCTGAGATCGAGGTGCTGGCAGGGCTGGCTGCTAAAGCCTCCGCTTGACTTGCCGATGGCCGCGTTCTCCCTCGGCCTTCTCGTGGACTTCCTTCTGTACCTGCCTGTGTCCTCATTTCCTCTTCTAATAAGGACATCCGTCATACTGGATGTGGGCCCACCCTCATGGCCTCATTTCAACTTAACCTCCTCCTTTAAGACCTTGTCTCCAAAGAGTCACATTCTGAGATCTCAGAGGTTAGGATCGCAAATAAGAGTTTTGAAGGAGAGATGATTTGGACCCTGAGAGTCCCTATCCCAGCTTCTACCGTGCCCTGCATCACAACGTTGTGGGGTGGGGTGGGGTGAGGAATCTTCCCACAGTCGGTGCCCACCTTTGTCCCTAATCAGGGATGCATGTCTGGTGCTCAGCAAGTTAGCCTTGAACCCTCCTCTCTGCCTTGGGCCACCCGCTCTGGTCTCTTGAGCTGAGCTCCGTCCCAGCTGGTGACCCCTGGGCCCTGCACCATTCTGTCTCCTTCACATCCCTGTGGTTCCCAGACCCTGGGAGCCTGGGCCCAGTGGCCCTGGGGCTCTGAGAGGAAAGGTGGAGGCTATTTGTGGGGCACGGGCATGAGGCTGTGCCTCCTTTCCTGGGTCAGCAAGCTGAGGTTCAGTGGGACCTCCAGGGCTGACATCAGAGAGCCCAGAGGCCAGCCTCGGACTCGAATGGTCCTAGCATCATCCGGGTACCTGGGGGCCTCACTGGCCCGGGGCTATGCACGCTGCTCCCAGTGGAGACTCTGAGTCATTGGAGGAAGGTTAAGTCGCCATATGTGCGTGGAGGGGGCTGCGCGGCTGGGCTGGGAGGCCCTTAAGGCGTAAGAATGACAGCTGGCATTCGGAGGCAACAGGGAGGGGTGGGATTCATCTGGGAATAATTCTGGTCCAAAATTGCTCCAAACGCTGGCAGAAACCAGTCAGCCGGCAAATTCCCACATGGAGAAGGCCTCAGTCCCGACGATGGCAGAAGCAGGAGGAGTCACTCTGTGGTGATGTATTATGACGTGCGTCGTCACTAATACTTGTACAAATTATTTGTTTCAATGTAGTCATTCTAGAGCCTCTTGGTTTTTGAGCCAGTTCCCACCCGGTGGGGCTGGTGCTTGGGGTGTCACCCCAGGCCCTCTCCTGCTGCCCCTTCCCCATCTTTCTGGGGCGGGGAGGCCTGTGCTGCACACAGGAACAGAGTCTAGGAGCCAGGGCCACCCAGGCTGGGGGCCCCTTCATGCCCATGCATCTCGGAGTCCCCGAGTGTGCACGGGCTCAGGATGTGGCCGTGACACGAATGAGTGGGCAGGGCATGTACATGAGAGCTGGGTGGAGACAGAGGAGGCCAGCGGAGGAAAGGGGAAGAAAGAAGAACAGAGATGGTCATGATCACCTCCTATCCTCACCATCTCTTGCACATGGTGGGAAAAATCAAGTAGGATAGAGACGCTGGTAATAATAAGAAGCCACAAGCCCCTGCCCCATGCCTTCACCCCCCCCAGCCCTGCGTCTTTCGACTCTGGCTGTTCCTTCTGGTCATTACCGCCGCAGCTCTCAGTGACACACTCCTGCTGTTGTTTCTTGACTTACCGCGACGTGCACTGACGTCCGGCCTCAGTGGGTGAGGGTTCAGCCCCCTTACGATACCCCCCACCCCTACTGGGTTGGGGAGAATTGCTATTTTTAGTTTTTCCGTCTCTAGATTGCCTGAGTAACTTGTTTCTGGTTCTGCCAAATACTGGCAGTATTTCTTGAGCCTGTCCTTTGTAAGATGGGGTTTTTAAAATTATCCCTATGTTTTGGTTCCAGTCATCAGTGCATTCACCTTTAAAAGGTCAAGGCTGATAACGTTTACATTCTCTTGGTACCCATAATGAGCCTATTTTCGGGTTTGCTCTATAGGTTGACTCCAAGTTTTAAAGAACAGGAAATAGTTATTTTATGTCCTTTCTTGTGCATCCTCCCCCTCCCCTTTTTTACCGGAGCATCAACTCATCATTTCCCCCTTGAACTCTTTGTCTCTGTTATGCCCTATCTGGGGTTTCTGCCTGCCTCTCCTCCAATCAGACCTTCCCCTCAGGGTTTCTCTTTATCCTCGTTCTCCAGCGTGGACAGGCTGCTCTCTTGGTGGGCCACATGCCATTGTCCTGGGAACTTCCCTTCCCTGCCTCTTAGCTGGGATTCACTCTTGTGGAAAACCCATAGCTTCTTCTTGTTTCTACCCATCTTCCAGTCATTTCCAAATGATGGGTAGGAGGTCAGGTTTTGAGTTCTGTGTCTAAATGACTTAATTCTTCCCATATTCCTGATTATTGCTTTGGCGGGGTTGGAATTTTGGGAGAAAACCATTTCCCCTCCGAACGCTAAAGACTTCCCCCATCACCTTCTAGCGTCCAGAGTAATGAGAGCATGATGCTTCTTGTTCCTTTAGAGGTGTCCTGTTTTCTTCTCTCTGCAGTGCTTCCGGATCCTGTAGTTCTGAAATGTCTGGAGGGTGGGTTTCAGGACAGACACCTGTCGGACCGCTCTGTCCGGGATTCATGTCCAGACTCTTGAATGTTCTTTTGGATTTTTAAAAATATTTCCTTCTCTCTGTTCCTCTCTACTTCCTCTTTCCAGTCCTTCTAAGAGTCGCACCCCCGACTTTCTGGATCGCTCGTGTAGCATTCCCCGTCCAATGTCCTCTTTTCTGTCTCTGCCCATTGTTTCCACTTCCTGAGAAAAGTCCTTGACTTCATTTTCCAGCTCTTTGAGCAAACTCATCCTACCCCAGAGCTCTTTCTTTGTCCTCAGAGCTATCTATTCCTATCTTTAAGGGTGTCCTGTCTTCTAGGCTCTCTAGAGACACTAAGTAGACTCTTTTAAAGTTGTATTTTGTTCCTCCACTATTTTTCTCTTTGGATATTTTAACTGATGGTTTCTCTTCATCTGGTTCCTTCCAGTTGACCAGGTGACCCTTGCTCATCTGATTCATATTTACATTTAGAACAACAAAAAGCTGAAGAGCAAGCCTTCCTCAAGAGTCCTTGTTGGAGACACTACTCTTTTTGCTGTTATGATGTCCAGATCTTTTCATTGGGAATGATAATTTGTTTTTGTTTTTGTTTTTTGGTAGGAACTGACAGTCTGATTCAGTCTCTCCCTTCCCTCTGCTGGACACTGACTGTTTGGCTGCTGTGGTTTGAAGGTTCTGGTACAGACTTACAACTGATGCTCTTTTTCAGCACCATGTCCCATCCCCACCCTCCACCTTCTTTAAAAATGTTCTGTGGGGTTGGACACTGTTTCTGGGCCATGTCACCCCTCCATATGTCCCCCCCTCCTCCTTTCACACACTTGTCAAGATCTCTCTTCCTCTGAACTCCCCCGTCCCCATCAATCTATTCTAGGTCTATATAACATTTTTGTTCCTCTTCTGGAATTTCAGTGGTGTCTGCAGAGAAAGGAGATCAGAGCCTGGGATCAACCCTTCATTTTTAAAGGAAAGGCAATCTCTACATTTGCAAAGCAATTTATAAAATATTCTTATGCGTATTATCTCATTTGATCTTTCTGACAACCCTGCAGGACAGAGGTTGTTATATTGGTTGTACAGATAAAGCACCCAAGTCTCAGAGAAATTCAATGACTTGTCCAAGGCCACACTGCAAGTCGGGGATGGAGCCAGGATTCAAGGTTGGGCGTTCGGGCCCCAGCCTTGGTCCATTGTGTGACAGGTATTGGAGGCACAGAGAATGGGACCCAGATGCTGGTAAGACTTGGACCTGGGACCCCGGCCCACAGTCCTGCGAGGACTGTGTTTCCACGTGGTGTCTGAGGCATTGGCCATGTCAGGTGCTGCTCTAGGGACCTGTGGGTTGTGGAAAGCAGGGGAGGGAAGCTGTGGGGGAGGCAGGGGTGGGCCGTGACATGTCCTCCGATGTCACATTAGCCTGAGAGGGGCGGGCTGCAGTGAGAGGTTTGTGGAAGCCAGAAAGAAGGCATCAGCCTGGAAAGAAGAGGGGTTCCTTCCAGCTCCTTAAAGTGGCCAACTAAGATCCTGCCCCAGTGGGTTTGTACTCACTTTTCTCTTTGCCTGGACTGCTCCTTCCCCAGGTGTTTGCATGGCTCCCTCCTAACCATTTCAGTTCTTTGTGCCAAGTTCTCCTCTTTAGGGAAGCCCTCCCTGACCAGCCCTTCTGAAACAGTCACTTTTTCCTTCATTTACCTTGCTTCATTTTTCTTCAGAGCCCTCGCCTCTCCCGGACATGGCATTATTATCTGCTTTCTTTCTCTCAGTTGGGGTAAGAACCCTTGAGCTGAGATCTGCCCCTTGAACCCATTCTTAAGCGTATAATCCGGTATTATTAAATGTCGCACTAAGTTGTACAGCAGATTTCTAGCCCTTGTTCACCTCATCAACCTGAACCTCTAGACCCGTGGGGCGGCAGGCAGCTCACCCTTTCTCCTTCCCAAAGCCTCCAGCAACCACCATTCTACTCCCTGTTTCTCGGAGATCGACTGCGTAGATGCTCCACGGGCGGACTCATGCCATGTACATCGTTCTGTGACTGCCTTATTGCATGCGGCACGAGGTCTGCTGCCTTCATCCAGCTTGTCACCTATGGCAGATTTCCTGCCTGTGAAAGGCTGAAGAATATTCCGTTGTGTGTCCATAGCACGTTCTTTTTACACATAGCGGGGCATTCAGCTGGTTTCCATTCCCTGCTTACTACCAAGTAGTCCCACCGTGAATAGGGAGCATACTGAGCTCTTTCCCATCCTGACAGCAAGTCCTATGGATATAGACACAGACGTGGAGCTGATGGGTCATATGGTAGCTCTATTTTTAATTTTTGGAGGAACCTCCATGCTGCCTCCTGTGCTGGCTGTACCGGTATGCGTTCCCACCAACACTGTCCCAGGCTTCCCTTTTCTCCACGTCCCTGCCAGCGCTGGCGATCTTTTTTTGTTTTCTCGCTGTTAGCCATCCTAACAGGTGTGAGGGGATGGCTCGTTGCGCTTTCAATTTGCCTTTCCCTGATGATGAGTGATATTGAACGCCTTCTCATGTGCCTATTGGCCGTCTGGATGTCTTCTTTGGAAAAATGTCTGTTGAAGTCTTCTGCCCATCTTAAAATCGGTTTATTTGGTTTTCTGTTATTGAATTGTAAGAGCCCCTTATCTATTTTGGATTTTAGCCCCATATCAGATACATGGTCTGCAAATACTTTCTGCCATTCTTTACGTTGACTTTTTGCTCTGCTGTGGTCCTTTGCTGGAGTCTGACACAGTCCCACTTTTGTCTTTTGTGCTCTTGTTGTCATGTGCATACACACCTGTTTTCCATTTGCCTCCTTTCTAGGATTTAAATTCCATGGGAACAGGGAGCGGTTTTGTTCTCTGCTCTAGCCCCAGTTCCTGCCATATAGAGGAGTTCAACCAGTAATTACAGACTCTATTTGAACTCAGACTTATGGCTTCATTCGCCAATTTATTGATATGCTCAGTGCCTATGTCCCACACATCCGCTGTGTGCCTTACCACTGGATTTATGGGGGTGAACTCAGGCACCACCTCCTGCCCCTGTGGTATTTACTTTCTTGTGGGGAAGATCAGGAGTGGGTAGGAACGGGCTATGGGTTTTACAAAAGGGGAAATCGATGGCATGGTGAGTGAGCGTCATCAAGGTGGTGCTGTTTGACCATAAAAATAGCTTATCTGTCTCGGGGAATTTCTGTGCACACTTCCCATGCCTAGCCCTTTATTGCATCACTTTATTTAATAATCTTAACAAATCTGGGACTGTGAGTGATAATCTATTATGTTTATTATAAAGATGAAGCTCTGAGAGGTCAATTACCTGTCTGAGGTCCCTGAGGAATCTGAACTTGGTCTGGGGCCCAGCTCCTTTTCTGGTTCCGAAATCCATGCACTTGGCTGCTCTCCTGTATGACTCTCTTGCAGTCACCTTTCTCCGCACCAGTCATGTGTGCGTTGCATCTGTAGGGGGAGGTTTGCCCTCCCCCTACAGATACAAACAGTTGGGGAGCAACTGTTTCCTCTCCAGCTAAACACAGGGGACCTAGCTCTGCAGAATGAGCCTGGTTTTTACTTTACACCGAAGTGAGTATTTGCTGTTTTGTGAATCAAAGACCTCTTCGGGCAGCCAATGAAAGCTTCAGATTCTCCCCCAAGAGAGCACATGGGCAGACAGACTGGGGATTTTGTCTATAATTCGGAGCGTTCCTGAGTTTCCCTAAGACTGGCGGCTCCGTGGACGACGTTGATGTTGAGGCTGCCGGCTTGGGATTGGCCGGTTTGCAGGTGGCAGGCAGGCTTGCGGGAGAGCAGTTGGCTCTGTCTAGGAATGAGCAGGACCCCAGACGCCGGGGCATCCACCATACCCCAAATAAGAAAATACAGCTCATGTAAAGGTCCACACCAGGATTCGGCACCTGGGAAGCAGGAAGGGAGGCTTGGGAATGCCGACGCTCTGCCCAGCTTGGCCCTTATTTGTGCTCTTCTGTCCTCCACTCCCCAAGGGTGAAGCAGTCGGAGCTGTTCGACAGATGGAAGAGCCTGCAGATGTGCAGATGGGCGATGAACATCTCGGAAGCCAACCAGTTCAAGTACCTGTGATTTGTCTGCCCTTCCCAGCCCTTCCGCGGGTGCCATCCTCCTTCTGCTGCCCCATCTCGCAGGGCCCCACCCCGGGCTCATCTTCCCCAGAGCTGGCCCTGGCTGGGCTTTGGGATCTGGGCCATGGGGAGGTTCTGACTCTGTGCCCAGGCTGAGGTGGGCACCTTGCTGGCTGCTGTCCCCCACATGACGGCCCTTGGGCCCCACATCAGCCTCGGAGCTGTTGTCTCCCGACAGCCCATCACAGAACCATGCTGGGCTCCCCAGCCCGAGGCCTGCTGCAGATTCATCTCTTTTCTAACTCAAAGCAATAGATTATCAGCTCCCAGAGAGGTGAGAGGCCTAGCTTAAGGTTCTCCTCTCTGGGGGAGCTAAGCAGCTGGCCGATGTCCACAAATTCCTTTTGATCGTAGGGTTCTCTCCTTCACTGAACTTCTGGGAGCTCATGGTATTGTTTCGGTGCAGACAGAGCTCAAGGAATGGAATTGGGGGGAGCTGAGGAATGTGGGCAGGAACCGGATGCGGGCAAGTCAGGCGGCAGTTCCCACGTACCCAGGAGCCATGCGCTCGTGGCCCACCTACCCGGGAGGCTTCGAGAAGCAAATGACACTCAGCATTTTGTCTTTAACTTAAAAGTCATTTGTTCCAGTTTGCCGCCGTTCCAGGCCCTGTCTAGAGCCAAGTTGTAGTTTTAAGTGGCACGTTTTTAGAAATGTGGATGTTTAACGTGGTAATCCCTGAAGAGCAGATGCCAGCAGCCACGCCCCAGAGGTCTCAATGAGACTGTGGGTTCCTGTCCGAGGCTGTGTAGGAGTTTGTGCTGACCCCTTCCCTCCCCCCACCCCCCTCATCATAAAAGTCAAACATGAACTTCAGCCCAGTGCTGGGAGGACGGAATGGGTCCAAGACCTGTGCGGCAGGTGCCCCCAAATCTGCCACTTAGCAAGGAGTGCCCCGGTGGGCACTGCACTGGCCAGGCAGCTCATCAACACCCTGCCTAGAGGAGGTCAGGGAGATGTGAAAGGGTGTCTTCTTGGCTGAGAGCTGAGAGCAGCACGGAAGACTCCTTGGTGGGATCCTCATGTCTAAGGAAATAATGAAACAACAGGAAGATGATTGACAGGAGAAAAACAAGGATCCCTTCGGCAGGGATCAGTCGGCAGGATCCCGGGGAGAGGCTCCAGGGGAGCCCACACCCTTCTGGGGGTGGGTGTGGGGAAGTAGTTTCAGGTGTGGGGAAGGGAGAGGCCATCAGGCCTTGCTAGGCTCTAAATGGAAAAACTTCAAGGCCGGTAGGTTGCCTCCCTTTGCTCTTGTCACAAGCTCATTGAACCATGATGCGATTCTTCACTTAGACTTGTAAGAGCCTAGCACAGTGAAATGCGCAGCGTGGGAGGGGTGTGCTAGAAGATGGACATGAGCTTTCCAGTTGTAGGAGAGGGGTCCTGTAACTGAGGCCTTCCTCTACCCTACTGCCTACAAATAGACGCATTGGCCTTCTGGTTTATATATCAGTCACTTGTGAGCTTGGTTAATGGGAGTCAGTCTCCCCCTCCCTTCCCCCTCAGTGAAGTACTCTCCAGCAGGCTGACAAGACTTAGTTTCTGGACCAGCAAAGCTAAATACTGACCCATGGCCTCTGCCTGGCCAGGCATCTGGCCCCCAGTCTGGGAGGCCTTAGTCACATTCTGAAACTCAACACTGCACAGGAAATACTTCTGTCTGTGACCAGCAGCCAGCTGAGCTCACCAGTGAAATCCTTGCAAGAGAGAAAGTCATAAAAAATAATTTTATAACCTTCCTGGCTTTGGCAACCTACAATCACAGAATTACAGGGGTCAGAGGCGGAAGGGCCAAGGCTGAATTCTTTTTTTTTTTTTTTTAAGATTTTATTTATTATTTGACAGAGAAAGACACAGAGAGGGAACACAAGCAGGAGGAGTGAAAGAGGGAGAAGCAGGTTCCCCACTGAGCAGGAAACCCAGTGCAGGGCTCGATCCCAGGACCCTGGGATCATGAGCTGAGCCAAAGACAGACGCTTAACGACTAAGTCACCCAGGTGCCCCACAAGGCTGTATTCTATAGATAAGGAAGCTGAGGTCCAGTCTGGGGAAGACCCCTGCCCCAGTCCCCACTGCTGGTGGGAGCAGAGCAGAAACTAGAACCCAAGCCTCTTGACAGCAGCGTAGAAACCCCATGTTTCCATCCCAGACCTTGAGGAGAAGCTTCCAGAAAGCTCTTCCTCAAACATTGTTGGTGGTCATCATCCTGGCTCCTTGGGGAAGGTGTCCCATCCCTCCTGGGGCCACCTAGGTGCTGCATGGGACCGTACCTGGAGCTAGTGCTGGGGGGAGGAGGCCAGTGTGGACACGGCACCTCACTGCTGCTTCCAGAGGAAATGGAGCCTTGTGGGTTCAAAGCCCCATGTGAGAGAGCAGCAGCTGGCCTGCCTCATTAGGTCTAGCCCTTGGGCAGCCAGTGGGGAGAGCTTTGGGTCCCCAGGGCAGGGGAGGGGAGGGCCCAGGGCTGGACCCCTCACCAGGCCTTGGAGAGTGAGTGACCAGGGGGAGCACTGGCTGCGGCCAGAGGGATGACAGATGACTCTACCCTCTCCGGCCAGGCCGGCTCCCAGGTTGGCCTCTGCAGCCACCTTCTCCCTAGGAGCCTTTATTTTTTTATTTTTTAGTTTTGTGACGCCTGCTTGCATCATCTGAGCTTTACGCCTTCTGTAGCTTGTTTGAGTGTTTTTTTTATGAGGGAAAGCCAGGGGGCTTTTATTTATTTATTTATTTATTTATTTATTATTTATTTTTAGAAACAGTGAACTCCTGAGAACCTGTTTTGGAAGTCAGTCAGACTCCTCTCTCCACAGGAAGTGGCCCAGCACCAGCCCACCAGCCCTCTGTCTGACCGCGCCCCCCACCCTCCTTCCTAAGACACTTTCTAAATGATTGAAATTGATCATTTTATCTTGGGTTTCTGCCCCCATGAGACGGGGTAAATGCCTTGTTTACAGTCTGATCGGGGCCAGGGACCCGAGGATGAACTCGGTGCCCCCAGATTTCCATCGAGGCTAGAGAAACAGCATTTCCAGCGAGTAGCAGAATGCCCAGTGGACCTTGACGAGCGCCTGAGTGAGACGTGACTAGCTCAGGGTTGGCCAGCAGCTGGCTGTCCACACTCGTGTGACTAACACCAGACAGGGTCCACTGGCAGGGTCCCCGCCATCAAGGGGCTTTGGTTCGGGTGGGGAGAGAGACTGTAGGTGGTGAAGTGGGTGGTATCTGGTCTGTGCTCCAGGTCTTCAGAGGCTGGTGAGGTCGGTGGGGTGGGCAGCCGGGAGCTCTCAGGGAGCAAGGCCAGCGTGAGGAGAGGAGGAAAGGCCCAGGCATTGGGAGGTGTGTCGAAGGCGGGGGAACAGCGTGAGCAGAGGTGTGGGGAGGGGGGTGAGTGCGGGAAGGTGTGGGTGGGGGCTTCCTGGCCATCTTAAGGGGCCTCAATTCCATGACCCCCTGTTTTCCAGAGGCTTGGCTCTGCCCCGTGTCACCTGTCTCTCCCGCTCTGTCTCCTGCCTGGCAGGTCCACTCTGTCCAGGTGCTGCAATGCGCCCTCCTTCCTCTTCACCACCCAGAAGAACACTCCCCTGGGGACAAAGCTCAAGTACGAAGTGGACACCAGCGGCATCTACCACATCAACCAGGAGATCTTCCGCATGTTTCCCAAGGTGCCGCTTTGGGCAGGGCCGCCTGGGGGCAAAGGGGCGACTCCACACGGCCCTAAGTGGCTCTGCCCACGGGGTATGGCATCCATCTGCTGGGCCCTCCGCACCCACTGTCCTGGCTCTGGTGGGCTCGGTAGACCATCTGAGCATGGTGAATGCCAACCAGCTACTCTTTGAGTGACTCAGGCAGGAGAGTGCTTATCAAATTTTGGTTATTGCCTTGCTTGCCAAGGACAGCCTGAAGCTATCTGGGAGGGTAATTAAGCATTTGTCCCCCATGAGAGGCAGAAGCAGGAGCAAAAACGTTCATGCAAAGGTTGTGTGCCCAAGAAATCACAGACCAGTAGAAAGCAAAGCAAGAAAGACTGATCTCATGTTGGCTGACCTTGGGCACTTATAATGTCTTCCAAGGTCTCAGTCTCCCTGTCCCTGGGCTAGGAACAGGTGTGGCAGAAAAGCTCACTTAAACAAGGTAGATGTTAATTGTTCTCCTTTCCATAAAAGAAATCTGGATGTAGGCTGTTCTTCAAAGCTAGGACAGTGACTCCCTGGTCAGGGGGGGGACCCCAGCATAAGTGATCCCCCTACATGAAAGGAATGCGTCACTGAAGGCTCAACATAGGCACTCCGTTGGGGCCTGACCATGCCTCAGACTCTCCGAGCAGGGGCCCTGTAACCTGCATTTTCAGTTCATGCTGATGGTTACCCTCTGAAGAGGAGCAAGATTTTGCTGGATGTCTATATAAGCACCTCCTGGAGAGGGCTGGGTCCAGAGCAGGACTTAGTGGGTCCAGAGTGTAGACGTGCTGAATGGGGGCATGTTCAGGTCTTTCCAGATGGAATCTGAGGGTCTGGGCTGCCCTGCTTCCACAGAAGGGCTCATGAAACACAGCCAGGGCTCCCTGCGTTCTGGTGCACAGATAACATTGGGCCTTGTGGGGGCAGCGGTGGTGGGGGAGTTGGAGGAGGGGACATGTCACACAGACTCTCCCCCATCACAGCGCTGGAGGATGATGGATACAAGCCACCTTTACGAGGTGGGTCTTGCAAGGCCCGGGACAGGAGGCGGGGGACAGCAGGTGGATTTGTTTCTCCTGCGGGTGGTTCCAGTGGGTGACACCCAGCTCGGTTATGACATACGGGTCCACGGAGGGCCATGGGTTTGGACTGCCGAGTCCCGGGGAATTAGAGCAGGGCTGCCAAACGTTCTCTGGAAAGGGCCAGAGAGTAAACATTTTAAGCGTCGCTGGCCATATGTTCTCTGTCACCACTGTTCTTTATGGCAGCAGCACAAAGCCCCCACAGACCTTCGTAAGCCAACGAGCATGGCTGGGCTCCAGGAACACTCTAGCTCCTATTAGGCACTGAAATGGCAACTTCATCTAATTTTTACATGTCCCAAATCTTCTTGTTTTGATTCCCCCCCCCCAACCACTTACAAAGATAAAATCCACGCTTAGCTTGCGGGGTATACAGAAACAGGCAGGTCTGACGTGGCCCACCGGCCATAATGAGCCCCGCTCCCTCCCCGATTCAGAGCCTGTGATATACAAGTATTGCCTCAGGGTAAGTCTTTCTTTGGGTTTGTATAAAATACAGCTTCTCGGGCTCCTACCCCCCACCCTGGGGATTCTGATTCCATGGTTCTGGGATGGAGCCCAGGAATTTCTATTTTCAGAAAGTATTCCAGGTTGTTTTTGATGTACAGAAGTTTGGGAAGCACTGGCATAGAACATAAAGGTCTCTATCTCTCCAAAGATAACTTTGGTTTTTTCCTTTCCCTGGTAGAAATCAAACAGTGCAGTTTTCCCCACTGGCTCTGAGATACCCTTGATCCCCCTCTTGGCTTCTGGGCCCGTCCCTCCAGGGTAAATGGGCCTGGCGGGAAAGCTTCCTATAGATGGATGCAGCCTCTCCTGCAGACCTAGACTCCTTCCTGGTCCACTGTGGTGTGATTTTCCATGACCCCACCTGACAGCGGGCCCCACCGGAAGCCCAAGGTGCCACTAGACTGCTGTTGTTCAGGGCTGGCCAGCTGCGAGTGTGCTAGGAGGGGAGATGCCCTGTAGGCTCCTGGGCAGGGGGGAGCTTTGGGGCTTCGTGACAGTGATAGGAGCCTGGTCCCCATGCAGAGAGACCTCTGGGTCAAGCACCGCACTGGGCAGGCTTTTCATTTACACCAGTGGTTTTTAACCGTGGGGGACCCTTGGCAGTGTTTGGAGACAGTTTGTTTGTCAAGATGGGGAGATACCCTTGACCTCTACTGGGGAGAGGCCAGGGTTGCTGCTAAACATTCTGCAGCTCCAGGTCAGTCCCCCACAACGAGGAATGATCTGGTTCCAAATGTCAACAAGCACCAAGTTGAGACACTCTGCTGTACACCATCACATTGAAAAGCGTGACACTTGCGTGTTATTATCCGAATTTTCAGATGGAAAATCTGAGTTCCTGAGAACTCAGAACACTTGTCCATAGCTCCTTCCTCTCATGCTGGGGCAAAACCAGGGCTGGCCTTGGGGCTTTTGCCTCAGGTACCCAATCCTGGCTGGCCCTAGACTTTCCTGGTTTGACCCAAGCGAATTCCTGTATTGCATGCAAAGCTCCCTGGTCGTGGGCAAGCTGGGGTGGTTGGTCACCCTACCCTTGACTCTGGCTCTGTGCTTCTGTCTGTGCCATGTGTGTGGCTGCTGGGCTCCGTCTGCCTCCGGTTGCCCAGGAGGGGGTTATGACCTAGAGCAGGTACGTGATAGAACCAGGACACTTTACTGTCAGGCCAGCCAACATTTGCTTTTTCCTGCCAACTTGTCTGTGGTCCCCTGGAGGGTGTGTCCATGGAGCCTTTGTGGGCAGCCAGAGCCCAGACCAAAGTAACCCCAGCAGTCAGGGCATGACAAGGTCTAATTGCTGTGAGATCGTTACTCCCAGGGCTCCTGAGAGTGCCACTGTCACTCAGGGTGAGACCCAGGCTCTCCCGCACTCAGAGCCCTTTCTCTGCCGAGCTTTGAGGTGTTCTAGGCCCTTACTGCTTCCCGGTGGTGGCCTTGCTTCCTCAGCCGTTAGTCTCTAGTCCCACTGCTGCCAAGTCCCAGCATCTGTCCCGGTCTCTTTGTGTCCCAGGCTTGCGTCCTCCCTGTATACCTGGCCCTGAGCTGAAAGGGGTGAGGGTCGGGTTTAGGCCCCTGTCCCTGTCTCTGCTGCGGTCATCCCCCAGCAACATCTGCATAAGCCAATAAAATATGCATCCGGGAAGTCCTACAGAAGATGAACTTCCAAACATTGGGAAAACCAAAAGCAAGCAGGACTGGCCATCACCTGTACTTTCCTTCGGGAAACCTGAGGCATCCCAGGGCTGGTTGAAAAGGCAGTGGAGACCTGGCTTCTCCTCCACCTTATTTGTAATTGCCAGGGGGCCTGGGAACAAGTGTCCTGACCTCTCTTCTCATCTGCAAAGTGCAATAACCACTTTCCCCCCATAGTCGCTGCCAGGCTGGCTGGGCACACGGCCGTGGGTACAGGGGTGAGGGCAGTGGGAGAAGGCAGGCAGGGAGTCGCCTCTGACAGCTGTGCACCTGTCTCCCCCAGGACATGCCCTACTATCGGTCCCAGTTTAAGAAGTGTGCAGTGGTGGGCAATGGGGGGATCCTGAAGAACAGCCGCTGTGGGAGGGAGATCAACAGCGCTGACTTTGTCTTCCGGTAAGAGAATTGCCCTGGCTCTGCACCTGCTACCCGCTTGGTGCTCCCACTCCCTGCTCTTTCCTCTGTTGGCGCCCAGCCCCGTGCCCTCGTGCTGTCCTTCAGCTGATGGGTCCCCGCTCCCCATCCCTGCACACCTTTACACTCTACCTTCCCCAGCCCTGTCGCTCAGAGCCAGTGGCTGAAACTCAGGGCCTCAGTCTCCATATCTGCAGAATGGGAGGTGCCTGAAGAGCCTGGCAGGTGTGAGGACACTGAACACTCGCGGGGGCTGGGCAGATCTGCTGGAGAGGCCATCTGGGTGGCCACCTCCCCGGCTGAGTTCTACTCTTCCAAAAGCAGTGCTTGGGACCTGTGCAGCCTTGTGGCTGACACCAGTGTTGGCTTTGCCCTGGCTTTAAGCTGGAGACTGGTCCTTGTATTTTCTCCTTCCTTAGCTGGAGCCCCCTCATCTCTGTGGTGATCCTCACTTCGGGATCAAGAAGATGGGTTGAAAATAAAGCTTAAAGCAAAGGGATTGGGGTTGAGGCTCTAGTCTCACGGGTCAGGGATCCATAATCACTGTGCCATTCAGAGTGGGAGGGGAAGGAGTTGAACTTGCCCCTCTATGCGCAGGCTTCCAAGATTCCAGCGTGCTGGCTGCCTGGGCACTGCTCTGCCCATGGGAGTACCATCTTGCCTTCCCCACGCCCTTGCACTGCCCGCGCTCCGGCTCCCTCTGGGAGGAGTGAGTGAGCGTATACAGCCAGGCTGCCTTGTGTCTTCTGCAGGTGCAACCTTCCCCCCATCTCGGAGAAGTACACCATGGATGTGGGCGTGAAGACGGACGTGGTCACTGTGAACCCCAGCATCATCACAGAGAGGTCAGTGAGCCTCCGCCAGACTCCTGCTGCCCAGTAAAGTAGCTGTGAGCCATGACCACTGGGCATGTGACATCCAGATGGGCAGGTGCTGTCTGTAGCAGGAGACACACACCTGATTCCAAAGGCTTACCATGCAAAAGATGATGGGCCACAGTTCCTCAATTGTTTATATTGATTTCATGTTGAAATAGTAGTATTTTGGGTCTATCGCGTTAAAGAAAACATTGCAAGCATTCAATAGGATATGACAAAAATTAATTCATCCATGTCTTTCTGCTTATTTAAATGTGATCCTTAGAACATTGAAAATTCCATATGTGGCCTATATTATATTTCCCCCTGGACAGCACTGGTCCAGACAGGCTTCACCTAGAAGAGCCGTAAAGCTTTCCAGCGTGTGATGGGGGCAGGAAGCTTCCTAAGCTGGTGTGTCCAGGCGGCTCTGGGGAGAAGACTCAGGCAAAGATCTCAGCCCCCACCGAGTGCCCCTCCTGGGCTCTGTCTTTGTGGGAGGCCTGGGGGAAGGGGGTTAAGGGGTTAAAACTCCAGCAGGGACACAGTCCTACCTTCCATGTCAGGCTAGGAGCAAGAAGGGGGACAGCCAGAGACCAGAGGATGAGGAGCTGGTAAATCGGGTCAGATGCCCAAGGTCACTTACAGAGTCAGCAATGTGAGGGAGCACTGGAGAGGAGGGAGATGAGCCCACGGGAGGACACTTTAAGGTGAAGGAGGAGGTGAGGGAGGGGCTTTGGGGGAGGAGGGAAGGAGGCAAGGAGGCGGCAGGCAGACTTTTCCCCTAAACTTCATTGGGGACCTTGGGAAAGAAAGTACAGGCGAATGGCCCAAGGACGCCAGGAGTAGCCTCCACTTCCTCACTCCTTCCCCCCCCCCCAGGCCACCCTGGGACTCCCTCATCCCTGGGGGGTGAAGCACAGCTGTCCTGCACTGCTGTCTCTCTGGGTCCACTTACACAAAATAGCCCTCCCCGAGAAAGGCAGGGCGTTCATCTTCCGGGGTGAAGGAAATGATGGGGAATAGCAGGGTGCGCTTGAGTCCCCGCGGCCTCCCAAGAGGTCCTGGGGTGCCGGGTGGGGGCAGTGGGGTCTCCGGAGGGCACAGGCCTGGGGAGTGGGCTGCCGACCTCTTGCTCTGGCCCCGCCCAGGTTCCACAAGCTGGAGAAGTGGCGGCGGCCCTTCTACCGGGTGTTGCAGGTGTACGAGAACGCATCGGTGCTGCTGCCCGCCTTCTACAACACGCGCAACACCGACGTGTCCATCCGCGTCAAGTACGTGCTGGACGACTTCGAGTCGCCGCAGGCCGTGTACTACTTCCACCCGCAGTACCTGGTCAACGTGTCGCGCTACTGGCTTAGCCTGGGGGTGCGCGCCAAGCGCATCAGCACCGGCCTCATCCTGGCCACGGCCGCCCTTGAGCTCTGCGAGGAGGTGCACCTGTTCGGCTTCTGGGCCTTCCCCATGAACCCCTCGGGCCTCTACATCACCCACCACTACTATGACAATGTCAAGCCCCGCCCCGGCTTCCACGCCATGCCCTCCGAGATCTTCAACTTCCTGCACCTGCACAGCCGAGGCATCCTGCGCGTGCACACGGGCACCTGCAACTGCTGCTGAGGGCTGTGCGGGTCGGCCGGCCGGCCGGCCGGCCACCCGGCGAGGAGAAGCACGCACCTCCTTTCCCTTCTGCGCCAGTGCTACTGGGGGCGCCTGGCGGTCAGGCGGTCACTACCTCCGGCATTCAACTTCCTGCGTGGGTGGTGTGGACCCGGAGGCAGGGCTGGGGGTTCCCCCCATGAAGCAGAGCTGGCTGCGTGCTAAGCTCTCTGGCCTTGGCCTGGGGGACCGTGTCCCTACCCTGCCCACGGGGAGCGTGCTGCCGAGCCACACCCTGAGATGGGGGGCCTGGGGGATTGCAAGTGAATAAAGCACATTTGCACTCAATTTTTGCATTCGGGAGAGCACACACTGCAGTGGCCTTGTCGCAGCTAAAGGAAGGCCCCCCAGGACTGAAACGAGGGAGACTGGACACGGGAGCACCGTCAAGATTTAACTCACTTTTGGCTTCCAGGGTTTTATCCTACAGCCTCAGCCGCGAACTGCTACCTAGAATCTCAGAGCTTACAGATGAACCCAGCAGCCAGACCTTCCCGTGAAGATAGAGTGGCACAGGGAGGTCCAGCATCTTAACCACAGTCACTCCAATGGATTGGAGTCCCTCAAGCGACACCGTGAGATCTAACGCAAGCCCCATGTCTTAGCATCTCTGCTGCGACACCATGAGCTGGGAGCCATGCTCTTTCACACACGTCCTCAGGCGCACACACAGTCTCGGCCCCTCCCCGTCCCATCCTGTGTGCGATCTTCCCGTGAGAAGGACCAGCCATTTGCACGAAGGTCTTCAAACCAATGGTATTGACTCAACCCATGCTTCTCAATCTGCTTCCTCTCCAGTCTCCTTATTTTCAGCTCCGTTTTAACCAGGAGTTATTTATAAGATCCCTTCCTCTTTCTGCTCCGGAATCCTGCGGAATCCTGCTATGTTGTGTTCCTGGCCTGGAACTGTAGGCTCCGGGCTGGAAAGCACAGAGCGGAACCGATGAGCTTTGCAGATGGAAGTGCGTCATGGCCTCTGACACCAGCATCACTGAGGGTCCCACAGGGAAGGCAGGACTTCCAAATCACACAGCCTGGCCTTCGCACACATGGACCCACAGAAACTGTGCTTTGGGAGGTCAACTGGGCCTGGGCCGAAAGGGGTTAACATGGCATTTCACTTGTGAAGTTCATTCCCTTTGCTTTCCCCATGGTGTTTCCACCATCAGTGTGGTCCCACCTAGGAGACACCCCTGGTGACTTGCTTTAGGACCTAGCTTCGTGGACTCGTGCAATGTTAGTTCTGGAAGGACTTTAGGCCCCTTCCTCCCACTCTCCCCTCCCTCCTTTTTCCAGAAGCCTATTTTGCTTGGGTCTGGGGGTGGGCTTGGGAAGACAGAGTGACGAATAAAGGCAGAGTCACTTTCTTCTAGGGATGGCGGGCAGACCGTACACAGGTCCCAGCCCAGCCTGCTAGGTGCCCCAAGGAGGGCGGGGAGCTGCGAGGTCTCAGCAGGGAAGGAGACCTGCCATCTGATGACCGTCTTTTATAGGCAAAGCAGCAGGTCCTGCCAGTGAGAGACAGGGGCAAACGCGGGCTCAGCTCCGGGCTCCCGGTCCAGGGTCCTTGACAAAACCACTTCTGTTTCATGTTGGTGGGTGGCTATGGAGTGTACACTCCATGCACAACACTGTTCTAGATGGGACCTTCCACCTTCGTTCTGAGCCCTGGTCCTGACTTGGGTAGTCCTCACGCTACTTGTCTGTAGAGCAGGGAAGCAGCCAACAGGACAACATAGACCCTAGTGCACCATAAGCTGGGAAAAACCATGCGAGGGCAGTGGGTGACTAGGCTTTCTTGGGCTCTGCCTGTTCCTCCCAAGGAAGGTACTTCTGGGGAAGGTTCCAGTCAGCTGAGCTTTCCAGCCTCGCGTTTGTGGTTAATGGAGCCCCACTCTTGAGACCGTGGCATGTCAGGACTGTGAGGCTCCTAAAGACCATTTTGCCCCATTTAACGAAACAGGCCTAGAATGGGAATGTGGCCTGGGTCAAATTGTGTCTGGGGCTCTACTGAATGCTCGCTCTGGACACAGCCCCCTGGCTAACACTTCTGTTCCAGGGAGGGCCGTGTTGGGGGCAAGAGCTGTGGCAAATCAGGCATCAGGGTTCCCACTGCCTGAGGGTGCCACGGGTTGGCGTCTGCCCCAGCTGGGCCCTCGTAGGAGCTGGGGATGAAACGCCATGATCTACCCCACAGGGGAATCATGGTCTCATTTCTGTATGTGGGTCCTAGGGCAAGTCTCTTCTCTCCCCACAGATCTCTTTCCTCATCTCTGCAACTAGAGCCTTGGGAAAGATCCCTAGGGTCTTTACAACCTCTCATTTTTTTTGGGGGGGGGCTATTCCTTATATAGGGATCTGAGCCCCAAGTAGTATTTACTATTATAATAGCTAACATGTAGTGTGCTCCCATTCTGTGTCAGACCCAGCACGGAGCACTTTCTTTGCAATTATCTCCTGTGGTCCCAAGACCCCTTTAGGTAAGAAGGCTCCCATGGGACCAGTGAGGAGCGCCTGTGCTTAGCCGCTTCTCGGCCAGTGTCGCAAGGGCTGGAATGAGAGGGATCCTGGTGGAGGTGCCACTGCAGGGCAGTACTGGGCCCCGCTCTGGGGACAAATGCTCTGGGAGGCTGTCATGGGTCCAGGAGGTAGTCTCTGCTTGGAGATGTCCCCCACCACCATGCACCTTGGCGGCACTCACCCGCCCATGGTCCAGTGGGTGCCATCTGGGCACTGGAGGGAGGTGAGGTCGTCTCGGCATATTATAGGTGAGGAGAGCTGCCCAGAAAGAGTACCCGGTAAGTGACAGCATGTTGAGTGACTTGCCCAAGGCCCCATGGCCAGCCAGTGCCTCAGGTGGGACTCACCCAGTGTCCCGGCTTCTAGTCCATGCTGGTTCTCCTGCAGGCCATGTTTGTGGGGAAAACATTGTTTCCAACGGCTCACTGCTTCCTAGGCATTGACTCAGGAAGCCCCCACCGTGTTCCTTGCAGCCCCGACACCATCCCATGGCGCAGGGCAGACCACAGTTAAGTTCTTATTTGAGGGAAATCGATTCCCCACAAATAAAACAACCATCATGTCTTCTTTGTGCTCAACCCACTGCTCTGGGGTTGAGAGGCAGCAAAAACAAGTAAATGACTCAGTGCTTAGCCAAGCAGAAGGGAAGGTGGCTCAAGGTCAGAGGCAGCCTTGGAGGCTTCACAGTGCTGCTGAGGCAACTTTGCCCGCGAATCACTGGCTGCTGCAGAGAGCAGAGAGCCTGCGGGTCCTCCCCTCTGCCCAGTGGGGTAGGGGGCTGGGACGCACCGCCTGCCAGGTGAGGGAGAGCACAGGGCTGGTTTCAGCCAGGCCGTCAAGGAGGAATTACAGAGCACTCACCTTGTGCCAGGACATTGCCTTGGTGCCGGGGACCAGCGATCCCGTCCTAGTCCCTGCCCTCCTGGGGCCCAAGAGCCCACCCGCTACTCAGGAGCTGTGCTGGGAGCTGGCAAGTCTGGGCTCGGGGACAGTTATCAGGGGGAGAGGACAGGGCATGCCAGAGTTATTGCCAAAGCAGCAGCTGCTTCTCAGGTCTCATCCCTGACATTAACAAGGCAGGTGACAGGGATGGCCTCACTGTCCTTTCAAGTCCTCTCCTCCTTTGTTTCCTAACCAGCCACCCTCCCGTGATGTTCCTCCTGTCTTTGAATGCTCCTTCTCGGGCCCCTTTGTCAATTCGCCTTCTGTGAGGCTTCCTCAGGGCTCTCTTCTCTCAGCAGGAGCGCTCCTGCAGAAATCTCATCTCTTCACAGCCTGTCCGTCCTACCCCGGGGTCTCAGACCCCTCCCTGGCAGGCGGGCTCTCCCTCCGAGCCTTGGAAGCACGTTCACCACGGCCTCTGAGCCTGCACTTGTATCTCCAAACTCAAGGGGCATGTCCTCAAGGGGCATAGTTGAAAGGACAACCTGGCTCCAAGTTTGCCTCTTACCGCGTACCAGTGGGGTGACCTCGAGGGGGCTGCCGAAGTCCCTGGGGGCACTGATTCCTTCTCTGAGGGGCAAGGCCAGGAGACCAGCCTCTCTGGCTGTGCTGAGGGACAAGGGAAGTATGGTCAGGCGATGCCTAGCACAGAGCCTGGCATAGAATAGACACTCAGTGTGTGCAGCTTCTGCTGCCCCCAACACTTCCCCAATCCTCCCCCGGTGAACGGCTCCCCGCACTCACCCCACAAACCCGAGCCACCCTTGGCTCTTCCTTCTCTTTCACCTTCCACGTCAGCTCGACTGCTGGGGAGCCGCACCCCACCATGTCTGCCATCGAAGGGCTGCCACCAGGGGAGGGGGTCTGGCTGGAAATTCAGATGAGGGTCTTAGGTGAGAAAAGAGTGAAAGTCAAAATCTGACACGCAACCCAACTTCTGCACTTCCTATAAATATGAATATAAAATATAAGCTGCTACTACACTAGCCATCAAAAAAATAATTGGGAATCTGAAACATTTATGAAACCTGTTTTGGCCTTGACACTACCAGATTTCTTTTTCTTTCTATTTTTGATTGGGATAAAATACATAAGACATTGAATTTACCATTTTAGCCATTTTTAAGTGTGCAGTCCAGTGGTGGTAAGGACATCCACATTGTTGTGCGATGTGCGACCAGTCTCCAGAATACTTTTCAAGTCGCAGAAAAGACTCCGTACCCAACAAAGGACAACTCTCATTTCTCCTGCCCCAGCCCCTTGGCAACCATAGCTCTGCTTTCAATCTCTGTGAATTTGACTATTCTAGGTAGTTTGTATTAGTGGAATCATATGGTATCTGTCTTTTTGTGACTGGTTTATTTCATAGACAATCATTTAGGTCGGCACAAGCTGTTCTCAAATGACATTAACTGTTTTCAGTGTCCCTGTAATAGAATTCTGATCTTCCTTTTTGTCTGGAGCAGCTGTCCTGGGCCCTTGGTCGGTCTGTCCCTGCTTCTGATGATCTTGGTGCCTT